TAAAGTATTCTAAGTGTTGAAAGCAGACGTTTTGCTAAATTAATTAAGAAGAATTTTGCAATACTATTGATGTATTGAGCTCCAACGAGTATGAATGTATCTTATGAGAACGTCAAAATAAAAATGAAAGGAAATCACTTTTGAATCTAACATAAATAAATAAAAGAACTCATGCATCTGAATATACATTAGGTCTTATGTATTATTATGTGAATCGCTATTTACCTCCCCCCTTTTACTAATCACTACCCCCCCCCCATTACGTTTTTGCCCTTCACACTATCTCTCTACTTTCTCTCTCTACGCTTTCCCTCTCGACTTTTTACGGCTGTTTTGAACGTCAAAAAAGTCGAAAAAATCCAAAAAAATATCATGACATCGGCAAGACATTGAAGATTGACTATGTATTTTTTTTATATTTTTTACTTTGTAAATAATTTTTAATTTATTTTTTTTTTCGCGTCCGGACGCACCATGGGGTGTCCGGACGGAAGGACCAGACGCACCATGGGATGTCCGGGCGGACGGACCGGACACACAATATGGCGTCCGGACGGTCCGGCCGGACACCCCATGGTGCGTCCCGTCCGTCCGTCCGGACAGCCCATGGTGCATCCGGACGCACCACGGTCCGTCCGGACGCGCAAAAAAGAAAAAAAAAATTAAAAATTATTTACAAAGTAAAAAAATATAAAAAAAAAAAAAAATACATAGTCAATCTTCAATGTCTTGCCAATGTCATGGTATTTTTTTTAAATTTTTTCGACATTTTTTTACGGTCAAAAGAGCCGTAAAAAATCGAAAGGAAAAGCGTAGAGAGAGAAAGTAGAGAGATAGTGTGAAGGGCAAAAACGTAATTGGGAGACGATGATTAGTAAAAAGGTGCGGTAAATAATAACACCCTTTATTTATCGTTTTTTTATTAGGTCATTTCTTTATATATTTTTGTTGAGTTTGTAGCATGTTATTTAAATCTTATTACGTTGCGATATCACTATGTTATTTTTTAATAAAAGTACATTCATGGTTTGTTTGTTCTCCATTTTATTTTGTTCAGCAATCATATATTTACTAAATTAATTAATTTATCTTACTAAAATTAATCAGCAAAAAATATTCGTCACCATGAGCATCGCACGTGCACTTTCCTAGTTTCATAAACATGTTTCCTTCATATAACCAAACTTGAAAGTCCATGTATCTTAACAATCAAAGGAAAGAGTAACATTTTCAATTTGTCCCCGGGAAAATTAATGTTTCATTGAGTTCAACACCACCAAAGTCGGTATTGTAATGTGCAAACTACAGTGTCTGTATACGATGAAAAAAAATTGAACCTCCACGAACCAATGTCAATTGACTGTAGCAACTGAGTGCAATTAAACTTGAACTTGTAATCTCCTATTGTAATGTGCAAACTACAGTGTGTTTTTTTTTTCAAAACCCTCTCATGCTTCACAATCTTACACATCTACAATCAGCGTAATTGAAACCTAGGGGATTTTCTCCATCCCCCGTGTACCATAATATCACATGTAGAAACACAAAAACAACTTGCATTATCGCAAGATAGTGCAAGGAAAATCATCCTGACTGAGAACTTCTGTCAACAGTGCCTCCAGTCCTCACCCACATAAAATGCTTGATCCCCAAGTTCTTCCTCAATTCTTAGCAACTACAAGAAATTATACAGATCAATAATAATAATAATAATAAATAAAATAATACGCAAGTTGGAATATACTAAAGAAAATCTACTTATCTTATAAAAAACGAGAAATAGATATGCCGTTATTTGTCAATACAGATAAAACCCAATTTGAACATTTTATGGCTTCCCTATGGTCTTGGATTTATCAATACAACAAAAATATACGAGTTTGATATATTTTTTTTTTTCTAGAAATTTCACTAATAGAAGAAGCACTAGAATTTAATCGAGTCATTTTGATCTAGTCCATTATTAGCACTATGTCAGGAGAATTGTCAACAATGACTCTTCCAGCTCCATTTGCAATGGACATGGTCTTGGATTTATCAATAATATGATGAAATGACAGTGTTGCCGTCTTAAGGCAGCAGGAAATGTGATTGAGAAAAAGCAGCTTTCATGCTTCACGTTCGATGCACCACAATACAAATGTTTTGAGAGAAAGATATTGGATCTATATTCAGTGACTTTATGTAACAAAAGGATAGAATTGAAAAAGAAAAATGATAATTAGAAGATATAAAAGCGTCAACCTGATTGTACTTTGCCAGCCTTTCCCCACGACAGGGGGCACCTGCCTTAATTTGCCCAGCAGCCAGACCAACAGCCAAATCAGATAAGAAAGAATCTTCACTTTCCCCACTTCTTTGAGACATCACTGTACCCCAGTTTGCATCCTTAGCTAACTTTACAGCTTCAATGGCTTCAGTAACAGTCCCCACCTGGTTGATCTGAAATTTGTATTAAGAGAGAAAGAAAGCAGTGAGGGAAAGTATTGTTACGGAATACATATTAGAAAATATAACTTTATTGAGAAGAGGCAGTATAAAGAAATCGTCAATGAAACTGGGAACCAGGACATCAGAATCATTCAGTATAAGCTTAAAATGGAAAGGCACAACTCCAGTGTATTATACCGACTGAAAGAATAGCTTTACAATGAAAAAAATACTTATTTAGAAGTAGTGAAGTACAAACTCTCGTTAAGAACCAACTACTAGTCATCAGGTGTTCCGTCTGAACAATGTATTCATGCGCTAAAGGCTGTTGAGCAATCTTAATCTAGCAACAAAGTGTAGAAATCCAGAACATATTCCTAACATATAAAACCTCAAATCTCAGGATTAAAGTACATGCATTTCTTTTATACATGATAGTCCAAAAAAATTCACCATGTTGTGCTCCCCAACTGCTATCTTACTATAACATATTCATAATACTAGGCTGTGATAAGAACATGGGAGTATTAAAAATAAAAGTGTGATAATAATACCTTAAGCAGAAGAGCATTGCAAGTTGCCTCCTGCACGGCTCTCTCAATTCGTTTTGGATTTGATGTCAATAACTCATCTCCTACAACCTGAAACAAGCATCCACTTTCAGAATTCAATGGATACATTGGTTTGTGAATGCCGGCAAGAATTATTTTTTAAGATAAGAGTGAACCATGACAGACCTAATCTGCTTTACAACTCAACCGCCGATTAATAAACCAACTTTAATTGCATGACAAAACTGAGGTTTCAGCAGTGACAATAGCTCATAGTGCTTCATTTGTGCAGTGTTATCAATGATGGGTGGCGGAAAATGGAAGCAGGCTGAAATACAACCATAATTAACACATTCCCAATGGCAGTTAGGCATAAATGCACCACATTGAAAATTTGACAACACTGCATTTGCCACTTTGATTCCACAGAAAAACTTCTTTACTGCATCAGCTTGCACATAAATACTAATGATATCAAATGCGAGTTATAGAGACATAATAAACCTACTTCTTTAGAAACATATTTGAAGAAAGCTCTATAAGTAGAAAAGGCCGGTATGTTCATGAACATTCATGTCCCATCTCATTGATTGGTGTAGATTGTGTATCAACTGATTTCACAGATCCTTGAGCTCCTCTGAATTTGAAAAACAATGAATTGAGCACACGGGTAAAGTTTGACCCCCATGGTAGCCACAAAGTATCTTAACCTCAATTTAAATGCGTTATTGACAGTATAAGCTACCATCAGATGGATGTTAGAAGCTTCATTTATTACAATTGCTATTAAGGTCAATGTGTTTCTTCTTTACTTCTTTCTCATGGTTTTTTTTTTCTTTTAGTTTCACTTTTTGTTTTATTTAACAAACGGAAGCCTAGACTTCTCATAAAATTACAAAATACGCTTGTCAGAAACAACCTCAGGATATTGAACAAAGTATGTCCCCGACAAGAAAACAGGTTCTATTCAGTTTCAGCATGTGAAGATAATATCATGAAAAGATGATACGCCAAACCAAAATAAAAACTTGTGTCTGAACTCTGAGACTTCTTTGAAATTCTGGCAAGCTTGGGTGACTTGGTTAGAATAGAGGGTTGCTAGCTTACAGTTCGTTCATAGTTAACTTATGAAGAATGAACGCTGCAACTAAAATCCCTCGGATGAGAACGTAAAACAGACCTGGCATATTCCAAGACTAGAGAAGTACTTTGAATGCTCCCAGTCTTCCTTGTCAAATGGATCTTCAATCGAAACAATAGGGTAGGCTGCGAAAGCACTCAAACAAGGTATACTTAACTGAACAACTCAGAAATTCAATGTACAAATTAGAAATTAATGAGAATTTTGCTTAATAATAATGCTATGTGTACATAATGTTGACATTCACTCACATGAGGGTGGGGTCCACTTATTATCTAGTAAGTGGACCCACACCCATGTGACTGAACTCAAACATTATGTCGGCTATATTATGTACACAGCAAAATCCTTTACTTATACCTTCGCAGATCTCTTTGTACATCGCAATCATGTCCTCTCCTGATTTGAAATTCTGACCAGATTTATTTGGTGATTTGTAATCCAAGTCATACTTGGTACCTGAATAAGCAAAGAAACAAACAAAAATCATCTTGTGCCGCCAACTGACCAAAAGTAGGCAGAGAACCAAATAATGTAAATCATACTTGGTTCTTGAATAAGCAAAGAAAAGAACAAAAATCATCTTGTGCACACAAACAATTCTTTATCTAGTTTATGATCAGGCCAGTAAAAACACCTATGGGTACAAAAGAAAACACACATCAGGTAACAACTGTTTCTAACCGGAAGACCTTTTTCGCACTCTCTTTTATTTTTTTCGAACTTAGACTTTCCATAGAAAAACACATAATTACACACTAGAAAGCAGCTAGATGTATGCCCAACAAGACATACTGTACAAACCAAATCTGTCATTAGCAAGTTCAAAGGTCTTTTTTCAGACGAGCTATTCTATCTCCAAACAAAACAGACATAGATAATGGTGAATACACATACATGAGCAAATAGGATAGAAGTCAGAAAGACTCGATCAGAATACACCACATGTGAATTCTTAAGAAAATAACCGAATAACATATGATCCTAGAAAAAATGTATTACCAAATTAGTGGCAGATAAATAATAAATAACTACATAAATGAATGTAAAAGTTGCTTGCAAGCATATCAAAAAGCAACAACAATGGGCTAAATAACATTAATCACCAATAAAATTACAAATCACACACTAACATGGGCAGATCAATAGCACGTTATGGCACCATATCTGCAAAATTTTTACACATGCAATCCAAAATGAAAAGTTTAAGTCCTCTGCTGACTCATACTACAACACTGTAAAAAACTCCAATATTATCTTTCAGGCCAACCTAACAAGTTCCAATCATTGTAGGATCAGAAACCTAGTTCCGTTAAAGCTTGTTCTCATTCTATTCTGTTTTTTCACTTTGACAGAATTTCCGGTCTACGCATTCCCAGAAAATCCTAGGCAACCATCTCAGCACACTTTAAACAAGCCAATCATTGTTGTACAAATATTGAGCACGAGAAAGAGAAAATAAGCAGTTTCGATCTTCATATTGCATCTCTCTTTATGGGATAATTTAGTTCAACTAGCAATTCTTAAATTCTGCTCAAGGGAAAGGAAAATGTGAGTTGTCTAGCACCAGAACTCTGCAAAATACAAAAGCAGAAAAAAAAATTGGTTTAATATACAACAGTCTGGAGAAGCTCAGTGGGATCTCTCTTGTTTGTTTATTGAGCAAACATTATTTTTCACGTCAGAATGTCAATGTAAGACAGAATGTCACCTATCCAAGTAGCAACGACACCAATTGCAAACGTTATTTTTCACATCAGATGTCAATGTAAGTAGAGAATGTCACCTATGCAAAACTGAGTAGCAGCGACACCAATTGCTATTTTAATTTTCTCGCAGTGCCCTGTTCGTCCAATGGCCTCGTTTACAAAATCCAAACCTTCTTTCATGCTGCAGGTTCAAACAATTAAGACATTTGATTGATCTTCTCAACAAACAGGACATAGTGAAACAAATAGGACATACTGAGGAAACTTGCCTGGATATATTTGGAGCAAAACCACCATCATCTCCAACATTACATCCATGTGAACCATATTTTTCTGTAATCACAGCCTCATGTTCCATGATGACAGGTAAAAATAAATACACTAAGTTACCAAGAAAGGATAAATTTCCGTTAAAATATATGAAAGATACGAAACATGTACCAAGATCGATTTTCAGTGTGTCACACCATGATCAGGTAGGATCACTCCCATAAAAAAGGAAAATAAAATATACGAAAAATATACAGGTTCCTAGTTCATCATAGCAAGATCCGGTAGGATCAATACTCCTAATAGCATACATGCCACAACTTTTAAGCTAGGGTGTCGATGTACTATTATTCAGTATCTTGTACACTAAAAGCAAATCTACCAAACATAGGAATGTGGCAACTTAATCAGGTATAACTGGTCCATGAAGGATTAGCATGGATGGTGTTGGAGCCACCAGCAAAGGTCCGTGGTTCAAATTCCTCTAGTTGTTACTTTTCAAGGCCCTTTTTTCAAATAATAATAATTAAAAAAAAAACATGTAATCAGGTATAATTGAATATTTACTACAACGAACATGGGTAGAATACTGGCATAAACCACAAGCAAATATATCTGGACTGGGAAAACAGAGAGCATAATAACAAGTGGATGAACTGTCAAAATTACTTTTCAACTTATTTGTACTACATGATTGGAAAACAACCAAAAAAAATCCATCAATATTGAAAGAAAATACTGGTAAGAAATAAAATGAAAAAATTGTATAGAACATCTTTTTAGCTTGGAAAACTCACCTTCAAATGATGATAAGTTTCAGATCCTATTTGCAATGCCTCCTCAAATTTTCTCGTCCCAACAGGAAGAATTAAAATTTCCTGATGACATTTAACTTGAGATTAAGATCATATCATAAAGGTCTAACATTCCTCATCCACATACAGAGATTGGTCAACAAGTCTAATAACATCTAACGAACCAGTTTTTCAAAATAAAGGCCTAGGACATAGATTTACTAATTAATATCTGTTAATGAATAGTGCATTCTGGAAAAGGTAACTAACGTCTGAGCATATATATGCTTTGAATTTCCGCTCAAAGATTCTTCAGATAATCAAAAAAAATAAATAAATAAATAAAATCCTGCCAGTCATGGTGTTTGGGTCCACCACATATCTAGTCTTATTTTTAATTGCATACCCCATACAAATGCGTACGAAGTAATTAAATGAACTATAAAAAAAATAAAAAAAATTGAGTGGTATAACAAATAAACATTATATATCATTGAAAGCTTCATACACCACCGTCTTTTTTATTGGACACTTGGTTCTTTCGACTTAGAACACATCAGAGATTGATTTTAGCTTTCATTGTAATGTTATTTTAGCTCTAATTAATATATATTTTGCAGATCAAAGAAACAAAAATTTCTTTATAATAAAATAAGTAATGGATTCTGGTAATGAATTTGTAAGATTGACTATTGAATTGTAAATTTATTATGCTGTTGAAAATAAAAACAAACAAAATACTGATACAACGAAATAGAAACAATAATATTATTAATTTAATACTTTATTTAGTATGATTATATTTTTTAAATGTTTGCATTGTCGCACATTTTAAAATAAAAGCAAGAATATCAAAGTAGAAGTTAAATGTACTTGATTTTTGTTTCATTTATTAATAACCACGTATAAAAAAAATTGGTCAATTGCATAAACAATTTATGATATATACATGATAAGTTTATATAATTTTCAGCGATTAATGAAAAAAATGGTAAATGTAAATTCAGATATCATATAAAAACTAAAACAATCACTGTCCTAATCTAAATTCTAATTCAAATATAAACTAAAACACAAACATAACAAGCATTAAAATAGTAGATCTTCAATCTATTCTATATAAAATAACAAACAAATCAAACTTCCTCACCTTCACAATCCACAATATCATCCGTGTCCCTATGATGGTCGGCAATATCATTATCTAGTTGGGCTTTCTTGAGCTTTGAATTATTGCACTCTTCAAAAAGGTGATGCATGCATTTGTAGATGATATGACTAATTTTCTTTTTCCTTTAAATTACTTTGTAACTGTGGAACTTCATCCTAATCCACATCAACACCCTACTTTGTTGACCATAAAAAATGAAAACTCTTTAAGGAGTGCAAATGCCAAACAAATTGAAAAATGTAAGCATTAGAATGGTTTGTGGAAATCTTTTAAATTGCAATATAAAATACAATGCATTTATTAGGACCAAAAGATGAGTAAGTTAAATAATCGTTGGACTAGTTACCCTCCACACTACAAACAACGGATTCATAAAATTAAATAACAATTTATTAATTTACTCATATATTTGATTAATTAAATTAATAGTTTTTTTAGTGTGAAAATGTGGATTTGTCTGCGCAAAAGCCGACGGTTTTATTTACTATTTTTTTTATTTGTACTTTGGCGCATTTATTTAAATTTATGACTATTTAATTGTTTCAATAGGCATACATCTGGCCTTAATTTAGACGAAATTATAAATATAAAACTTTTAATGAAGAAACATCTCATATATGTGTGTGTGTGTGTGAGTATATATATCGTAAAAGTATGTAAGTGCAAACAATTATTAATTATTAAAAATATGGAAAATAGTTATAAAATGCCTAATAGATAATGTCTTCAGCTACCACATATATAGAAAAAATGATGTTAACTGTGAGGAATACAAAAAAGTATTTTGAAAGCTGAATAACAATAAATGCGTAAGTATGAAATTCAAAACTAACTTTCCATAACTGATGCATAAATTTGGTTTGTGTGCGAAAAAATGGATATCCACAAAAAGAAAAAATAAAAAATAAAAATGTCACGCGTATCTTCCAAACTAAATGGCATGCATACGTGTCTATAACTGACTTTC